TGAAATTAAGAACATTCCTTATGTAAACAGGCAATTAAATTTTTTGGCATATTGTTTCGAATGTTTGAGTATCACAGAACCTCAATCTGTATTATCATAACGTTTTTGCTTAGTTAATGAAATGCATACAAACCACACTTTGCGAGGGAGTTAACGGTGATAACGAGATCGTCATATTTTCTTACGCTAAGCTTTTGAAGGAAAACATGACTTTAGAAACGTCCTCTTATACAAACTTATATAACTATACATTGAATTTAGTTTTGTAAAGTTTCTTAATAAAAAGGAATTCAACAAGCAATACACAACTTTGAGGTAAATATTAAATGACAAGACTTTACACAAACGCTTTAAGTGTACTTTACTAGATGGATCAATGGGCTCTCTTACTTCTCAATATATAATTAAATTAAACAACACAGCATCTGTTTTGAAAGCTTTCCACCACACTCACCTGCTGCCAACAATGGATTCATCTAAGATGCCACCTTGACGAACATAGTTACAATTTCTTCTCACACAAGTAACTCATTACCAAAGTTTTCTTGTTTTAATAGCCCTTAATCAAGATGTATTGTTGTAACATAACGTAGCCGCGGTACAATGTCGGTCCCTATCTTATGTAAGACTTTAAATAATGGAATTATCTCGATACGAATAAAAGTTTTAATCTTGTTAAGTCCCCACCCCAGAAATGTATAATTACGTTTCATTTTTCATGCGTAGAATAATTTTGATATAGTAGAACAGCTTAATCAACCGTGATACCGCGGCATCATGGTAAGTATTTTTTAATGATTAAACCTTGTTTAACCAATGTTTCACATTTAAGAATTAATCATTATAAAATTTTTACGAACTCTCCATTCCCGTGTTTTTGTCCATTTATATTGGTGTATAGGCAGGGTTCAGATAGATATTTTCCTAATTTTCTTTAATTTCATCGTTTTAATTGATTTTAATGTAAATGAATATGTTAAAGTGGTTTTAAATTACTAAAAGAATAACAGTAAACTGGAATTGGATAAAAGACATGATCTTACATAATAATGGTCTTTAAACATTGTACTTTGAACTTAATATGAATTTCTTTTACGACTTGCTTCGGTATATTATGTATTTAGTGTGCCCTTGCCCGCAGTCTGTGTTATCCCGGTGCTCCTCCCATCTTATTTCAAAGGTTATCGTCCACATAACGTTGACAAGGATTTAACGGTTTGATTACATTTTTGACAGAACAATGCCCTTGACTCACAAGAGCTTCCCTGTGATAATGCGCTGCATTAAATGGCTTTGCTTGCCTGAAAGTGACTTGACGTGACACGTGAAAGTTTTATACGTGATAGAGCCATGCTGTAGCTATATTATGGTTGTAGCACGAATGGGTCGGCTCGACCGGGGAAGGACCACGCTCTCACAGAATACCAGCGTAAAATAGCAGCTTAACGCTGCTGTGTTTCGTATGGTGAGTGTAGAGAACCGAAGACCCGTTTTACTGGAAACGAGGCATTCCATCTTAGTCTTCACGGGTGACAACGCATCTGCATTTTGATTCTTAATCCAAGATAGATGTAGATGTCTATGGGCCACAGCAACCACTTACCATCAGGTGGACTGTGTGCTCGTTTGTCATCCTTATCCATTAAAAAAAAAAGAGACTGCTTACGAATAGCGTACGAAATAGTGATGTGAAAGATATAACACTAACATTTAAAATTACAATTATTAAGGTAAATAACGATATCATTCATCACCATCATCATCATTACAGCCCTTCACAAGTCCACTGCTAAACGTAGGCCTCCCCCAAGGAATGCCACAATGCACGGTCCCGAGCCACCTGCCTCCATTGACTTCCTGCATGTCTTACCAGGTCGTCACTCCATCTAGTGGGGGGACGCCCTACACTTCGCCTGCTGGTACGAGGCTGCCACTCGAGAACCTTTTTTCGTTGTCGGTTCTTCGAGCTATATGGCCGGCCCTTTGCCACTTGAGCATACTAATTCTTTGGGCTATGTCGGTTACTCTGGTTCTACTGCGGATAGCCTCGATTTTATGAATTTTAAATTTTTCTATGAGCTCCTTCATGAGCTCGACCGGTGGTGGTGCTTCAGTTAAGGTATTTATATTTAATTTATGCGCTTTTATTAGTTACTCCGCGTTTACCCTCTCACGCTTTTTTTTTTTTTTTTTTACATGGGGAAATGCCTACGCATACCCGCCTCGCGGGGGCAAGGACGGGTTATGTCGGACTCGCACCGACTAAAACCCCATGGTGTTCCACCCTCGTCGCATATTGGCAGGGCCACGGGAACGCTTTCGCACACTTCCGCGGCCCCACCTGCGCTGGCCACCCCATGGCGGCCCCTCCTCGGGAGAGGACCACTCCTCCCCCATCTCCTTCTCCGGTAAGGCGCACCAGAACACATGGCGCGCCCTCCTCCTCGGCCTCCAATTTCACATGCGCAACGGACGCCCCCGTGTCCGATGCGCGAAGGCCATGGGGCCAGGAAAAACTAGCACTCAGAGGCACCAGCCTATCCTGACCCCAGCGGCGGATCTGGTCTATGGCTCCGCCGCCAACCAAGATTCGGCTGCGGAGGGTAGGGAGAGCGGCGCCTCGCAATACCGACACTCCTCTCCCCCCGCAGCCCCACCACCACCGCATCATTTCACGGTGCGGCCCCGTCTGAGTCGCGAAGGATAGGGCGAGTGGCGCATCGCCATACCAGCACGCCTCTTCCTTCGCGACTCCACCTCGGCTGCAGCGATAGAGGAAGCGGACACCCCTCTCGCAGCATCCCACCGACACACATCCAAAGTGGGCTTCCCAAGCCCACTCGGAGTGGCCACCTCGGGCCGGCCCTACACCACGGGCCAGCCAAGGGGTTCCTCTTTGTTCACCGTGGTTGACCAAGCCACGGCTACTAAGCCCCCCCGCCACGACAAGGCGGGAACCCGTTCGGGGGGGGTACCCTCTCACGCTAGCCTAACCTAACCTAGGTTAGGTTAGGTTAGGTTCCCCCCCGACCCCCCGAGGTTAGGTTGCGGGGGGAGAGGAGTGTCGGTATTGCGAGGCGCCGCTCTCCCTACCCTCCGCAGCCGAATCTTGGTTGGCGGCGGAGCCATAGACCAGATCCGCCGCTGGGGCCAGGAAGGCCGGTGCTTCTGAGTGCTAGTTTTTCCTGGCCCCATGGCCTTCGCGCATCAGACTCGGGGCGTCTGTTGCGCATTGGAAATTGGAGGCCGAGCAGGAGGGCGCGCCATGTGTTCTGGTGCGCCTTACCTGAGAAGGAGATGGGGGAGGAGTAGTCCTCTCCCGAGGGGGGGCCGCCATGGAGTGGCCAGCGCAGGTGGGGCGGCGGAAGTGTGCGAAAGCGTTCCCGTGGCCCTGCCAATATGCGACGAGGGTGGAACACCATGGGGTTTTAGTCGGTGCGAGTCCGACATAACCCGTCCTTGCCCTCGCGAGGCGGGTATGCGTAGGCATTTCCCCATGTAAAAAAAAATGTTCCCCCCCGAACGGGTTCCCGCCTTGTCGTGGCTGGGGGGCTTAGTAGCCGTGGCTTGGTCACCCACGGTGAACAAAGAGGAACCCCTTGGCTGGCCCGTGGTGTAGGGCCGGCCCGAGGTGGCCACTCCGAGTGGGCTTGACGAGCCCACTTCGGATGTGTGTCGGGGGGCTGCGGTGAGAGGGGAGTCCGCACCCTCTACCGCTGCAGCCGAGGTGGAGTCGCGGAGGAAGAGGAGTGTTGGTATGGCGATGCGCCACTCGCCCTATCCTCCGCGACTCAGACGGGGCCGCACCGTTAATTGATGCGGTGGTGGTGGGGCTGCGGGGGGAAAGGAGTGTCGGTATTGCGAGGCGCCGCTCTCCCTACCCTCCGAAGCCGAATCTTGGTTGGCGGCGGAGCCATAGACCAGATCCGCCGCTGGGGTCGGGAAAGCGGGCGCTATTAATCGCTCGATTTTCCTGGCCCCATGGCCTCCGCGTATCGGACTCGGGGGGGTCCGATACGCAGGTGGAGTTGGAGGCTGTGGAGGGGGGTAGCTGAACACCTCGCTACCCCGTGCAGGAGACGAGGCCCGGACAGACCGGGCCGGCAACCTACACGCCACTATAATAATCCTTTTCAAGTCCCATTTCTTTCAATATAATGCTTTTACATATTTGAGACCTTCCACATATTTGCTTTATTTCATAGACCATACTACTGTATGTCTTATTCATATGGGACTTCAAGTCATAACTCTGCTATCATAATGCTTATGCATCATAGAGACCTTCTATATTAATGCTTTGGTTCGTCAGACCTTGTGCAACCTTAGTACTAGCAGTCGGTCAGCCGACCACCCCATATATATGTACAACCTTGGGTATGTGTCTCCGACAACGCCCCAATATAAGGGAACATTACAAGAACACGTTCATTAACTTAGAAATTTTCCAATTATTACATGAACACCTTCATCAACTTAGAAAATTTTAATCCATTTTTTCTATTATATTACAAATGTTATTTATCTTTGTTATTGCAATATAATCGCCTTGTATTTATATGATTTGATACATTTTGAACATTTTAAGCAGGTTTTTAATAAATTTAGAGATTTTTAGAGACATTTTATGCGTTTACTAATATTATAATATTCAATATTCCAAATGGATATTTTTGAACTTTATGCTTATTATTTGTATTTTATTGTTTAAATTATAATTTCTAAGACATTTTTAAATGTCTGTATAATGAATTTAATTATTATTTATTAATAATAATTATGAGGCGTCACATTGTCAACTTAGCGTCTATAGTAAGCCCCAATATTTTTATCTCTGTGGATAGCGCAATGCTCTCCTCACCCATTTTCAGAAGTGGTGAGTCGTATTTAATCTTTTTTGTATTTACCATTGCTTTGGTTTTATTTGGTGCAAATTTGAGCTTGTTTTCGACTCCCCACTTCTGAACATGCGCGAGGGCCGCGTTGGCCCGATACTGCGTTCAAGTGCCCTGTCCCCGGAGAAGATCAGGACCACGTCGTCCGCGAAAGCCTAGCAATAATCCCCTTTTTTGCTCAGTTCCTGTAATAGAGGGTCTATCAACAGGTTCCAAAATATAGGACCCCCTATTGAGCCCTGCATGAAAACCACTGCTAAGGGTTGTGCCCTTAGCAGTGGTTTTCATATGTTCTGCTCCTGCATACCTGATGCTAACGGTTCTGTCTTCGAAATAGTTGTCTATGAGACATCTCAGATTAATCGGGCAACCAGATTCTGCCAATCTACATCTGATTGCCAGCCACCATGCGTTATCGAAGGCTCCCTCTATGTCCAAAGATATTAATACGATTAACTTTTTGTCTTTAAGCTTGCTTTTTATTAGTTGCATCATGTCATAGAGGGAGTCTTCGGTACTACGCTGCGGCATAAATCCGTATTGTCTCCGGCTAAGTTTAGGTGTAATATGCCATTTTATTCTTTGTATCAACATTTTTTCGAAGACTTTCCCGAGCACAGGCAGCAGTCCGATAGGTCTATAGGATTTGGGATGTGTGTAGTTCTCTTTCCCAGGCTTTCGCAGCACCACTACAACCGCCTCTTTCCATTTCTTAGGAAAGTATGCCAGATTTAGACATTTATTGACTATTGCCAAAAACATTGCCGGGTTCAGAGAAATAGACTTTAGGCAGATATCAGCCGTGAGGCCGTCCTTCCCTGGTGCTTTTTTGGGGTTGAAACTGGACACAGACCACATCAGCTCCTCTATCGTAAAAGGTGGGTCACATGTGTCATCATGTGACCCTTCGTCTACAGCATCCGCCGCTTCTCTTATTTGTTTGTGTCTGACGTTGTCACCCCTGGTGTCATCTTCTGGGTAGAATGTGTCAGCCAGCTCCTTGGCTGATTCCTGGTTTCCCATAGTTACACCATTAATGATTAAGGGAATGTCTTCTTGCCTCTTGATTGTGCGGCCTATAACTCTATAAATCCCGTCCCACATTGATTCTCGCTCCTGTTTGCTGCAGAATGCCTTCCAGCTTGAAGTGTGGGCCCTCTTGACTTCTCGCTGGTACTCCTCTTTTGCGCTGAGGTACTGTTCTCAATCAATTTCGTTTATTCAGTTTAGGCACATAAAGAGCACATATGAACGTCAAAATTTTACAATCATGTCAAGAAACAATTAATATAATATTAAATAAAGTAAATAAATCATTTGAAAATGATTCTTTCGCTGGTTCGGTAAGTTGGTTTAAAATTACTATTAAATAAACTCAGTGAACAGTTTTATATAACGTTTCTTTCTTTTTTTAAACAATGTGTATTTTTTTTTTAACTGATTTATATTGTGCGAGCAAGCAAAAAGATTAGGAAGACCATGGATTTTTATCTTTGAGGTATTCGTCTACTTTATAATATCCTTTTTTCATTAAACACTTTTTTACTTCTATTTTAAACTTATTTAGTGGCATGTCAACCAGGTCCTGAGGAATTTTATTAAACATTTTTATACTGTTACCTACAAACGAATTACCAACCTTATGAAGTCTGAGTTTTGGCACTACAAGTTTATTTTTATTTCTCGTGTTATAATTGTGTACGTCATAGTTTTTTTTGAAGAGATCTAGGTTCTTGCGTACATATAAGACATTATCGTAAATGTATTGGCAAGCAACTGTTAAAATATTAATTTCTTTAAATAGTTCTCTCAGCGAGTCGCGGGGTCTGAGGCTATATATAGCTCGTATCGCTCGTTTCTGTAATATGAAAATAGTCTCAATATCGGCAGCTGAGCCCCACAGCATCAGACCATACGACATAACGCTATGAAAGTAGCTAAAATAAACTAATCGTGCCGTTTTCTCATCAGTCAGTGACCTTATTTTTCTAACCGCATAGGCAGCAGAGCTAAGTCTTCCTGCCAAGGCTGAGATATGAGAACCCCATTGCAGTTTACTATCTAGAGTCATTCCAAGAAAAACTGTGGTATCGACTATTTGAACAGATTCATCGTTCATTGTAATATGAGTATCTATCTGTCTTACATTAGGCATAGTAAACTTTACACATTTCGTTTTCTTCGCATTGAGCAGCAAGTTGTTACTTGTGAACCAATGCACTATTTTAGAAAGGGTGTTATTCACATCGTCAAGTAATTCTTTATGTCTATCAGTTTTAAAAATTAATGATGTGTCATCAGCAAATAACACTATTTCACAAAGATTTTTAGTGAAGTGAGGAAGATCATTTACATATATCAAGAATAAAAGGGGTCCTAATATCGAGCCCTGGGGTACTCCCATGACTAATGGGGCGCCAGATGAGTTAGTGTCATTAATATTGACTTTTTGTACTCTACCAGTGAGGTAAGATTTAAGTAAGCTAAGTGAGCTGTTAGAAACACCGTAATAACCTAATTTTAATAACAAAGTCTCATGATCAACACAATCAAAAGCTTTTGATAGATCACAAAAAATACCGATGGCATCCCGCTTCTTGTCCCATGCATCAAATATATGTTTAACGAGTTCAACTCCTGCATCCGTCGTGTTTCTGCCTTTAGTGAAACCGAACTGTTTCTCATGAAGTAACTTATTATAAGTGAAATGTGAAAGCAGTTGATTAAATATAATTTTTTCAAAAATTTTGCTGAGTGCTGGGAGTATAGAGATGGGCCGAAAATTTGATGGATCACTTTTGTCCCCTGCTTTGAATAATGGAATGATTTTACTGTACTTCATGAGTGTGGGAAACTGTTTATCATCGATACATTGGTTAAATATGAATGGAAGATAAGGGGCAATAGCGGGCATTACTGATTTTATTATATTGGTTGAAATGCCCCAAAGATCCTCAGTCTTTTTTATATTTAGTTGCTTAAAAGTTTTAAGTACGGTTGCGGTGTCAATATACTGAAAATCAAAGTTAACACTACATTTATCAGCGCAAGATTCAAGAAGAGAAGCAGCTTCGGTTTTTGAAGATTTTAGTTTACTAGTAGTGGTAATTGGAGCATTTGTGAAAAAAGATTCAAATGCAATGGCCACTTCAGCATCAGTATTGATGTGTTTATCATCTATTTCTAATTCGAAGGATCGATCACGTGACCTTGTTTTACAGGTTTCTTTGTTGATAACATTCCATGTTGCCTTAATTTTGTTATCAGATTTTTGTATTTTGGCCCGGATATAATTAGATTTGGCCATTGAACAGACTTTCTTAAACATTTTTGAGTACTTTTTAGTATGTTCAATGATTTGTGGATCATTTGTACATGCCTTTGTCTCGTATAATTCGTACAAATTCTTTCTACTCTTATAAATTCCAGGTGTAGCCCAATCACTAAATTTAATTTTGAGTTGATTAGTATTAATTGTTTTTTTTTTGTGAAAATGTTATTAAATTCGTATTTGATTACTCCGAACAAATCTCCGTTCTCCAATTCATCACAAAACATCACTATTTGAGATTGTACATTATTTTGTTTATTAGTTTGTTCGGTGAAGGAGCTACTGGGTTTCTTATTTGGCTCATGTGAAGGACTTTTGTGTGAAGTTAGCGAGGACTTACAAACTGGCTGAGGACTGAGTAAATTGTCTTTTGATGCCAATATAGAATTTGTTCTCATCAGATCCTTCATGGCCAGAATGTATTCCTGATACTCACTTTTAACATTACAATATTTGTTGGTCATTATGTCTAGCGAATTCTTTAAATTATTGATCTCCGTTTCTAACATTAATATGTTACTATTGTACTCAGATATGTTATTTTCAATTATTAAAGAATACATATCAAGTTCATCACCTAATTGCCTTCTCTCATTAATATATTTTACTTTTTTATGCATACATTTTTGTCTTTTAATCAAATTTTGAGTTTTTCTTATGTATCTATTAATTTTTACATATTTCTTAAGTTTATTTCTACTGCACTCAACTCTGCCCATCTTAGGATAAGAATTATGAGCTATAAAAGTATCATCCTTTGTTAAATCTATAGTAATAGTGGGTTCCAAGTTAGGTTCAGTAGAAACAAGACTGGGCACACTACCGACTAATTCCTCAAACTAGTTTTTCAGCCTCAAGGTTGTTAATGTGGTGGTGAGCTTCTTGCAGTTCCTGCTCTAAGATTGACATGCGCTTGAGGCCCTGCTCGTATTCATCGCTGCACTCCCTAAACCCAGCCACAACATTATACAATCTGTCCCGCTCATCTAACACTAACCTATGTTCTGTGTGCAGATCAGCCATCTGCTTTTTTAATAAATCGTGTTTATTTAAACTATCCAGTAGTTCCTTCTCATTGTCCTCTCTTTCTTTGTGCAACTGTTCAACCAGCGTTTTGGATGCATCCAATTCCTTCAAAGTCAGATCAAGTTTTCTCAAGATATTATCTAGTTTAGCCTCATCACGGCGTGCAGCAGACATGCTGCGTGTGAGTGGCATTACGATTTTTTATAAATTTAAAGTTGTTTAAAGAGTATTGGGGATAATCCAATTAAGCACTATTTAAATATCAATTAGAATCTTAATAGAAATACAAATTCAGATATCAATTGAATGAGTAGGACTATATGATATTTAAGTTTCTAGTTTTAGTTTTTCTTTTTTAATTATTATTATAGTTATTGAATAAGAAGTTAGGAATAAATACGTAAATTTGATGTCGAAATAACTTTCAACATAAATTATGAAAAAGATCCGCTAAATGCTGCGATACGAACTCACGATCTCTCGTGCGGTACAAGTGTTCATAGGCACATACCACCACACCAGGATGACTTTTGCTTAAAGTATTGAAATTTTCGAGTAGTTGCTGCTTACTGTTATTTAAAATGTACCGAGATCGTTATTATGATTCATGCTGCAAAAATTTATTGCTTAGTCGATGTTAATCACTGATATTATTTTTTATTATTTTGTGAATATGGTAATGTTTTTTGTCACTGTATACGATCACATTTCACTGTGTTCACTGTGTTTTTTTACTTTCTTGTTTAGTTCTTATTACTTTCACTAGAACTTGTAGCAGAATGAAAATATTTCTGAAATTGTTGTTTTTATGTGTAAATAGATCACAATTGCGGAAATAACACTGTCACTATAACTTTGGATGTTTATTTACAGTTTTTGGTACACTAAAGTAAGAATATCACTGGTTTTACAATTTTAAACTATTTTTTATCACGGACTCGACGTTACTCATCTCACGGACTCGACGTTACCCCCCAACCCATTCCCATTCTTCCAAATTCCAATTTCATTCATTCCAATTCTACAACCCATTCCCGACGAATTGGTGCTGCACATGATATTCGACGTTTTAGCCTGGAGACTTTCTTCTTAAACTGTGTTAACTCGCCGTTCCACCAGGGCAATCCTACTCGCTTTTTGTTCTTCAATTTGGGTATATGTTTATCGGCTACTTCAGTTATTGTTTTAGTTACCTCTTCTATTTTTATTTCTAGTTCTTTTCTTGATTCTATTTTTTCTATTTCTGTATTGTTTAATGTTTTACTGTTCCAAAGCTGGAGGAGTTTCTCACGAAACTCACTCCAGTTTGCCCTTTTTGTATTGTACTTTCTGGTTGTTTTACTGACATCTGTTCCAATTGATTTTTCAAGATTTATATCGAATAGGATTGCTTTGTGGTCCGAAACAGTTATTTCTTCAGAGAGCCTCCAGTTTTCGACCCTCCCTAATAGGCTCGTCGAGCAGGTAGTAATATCCACGCAACTAGAGAATCTTCTCCCACCTCTGATAGTATCAAAAGTGGGATCCGTTCCTCTATTGAGTATGTGAAGCTCCAATTCGTCGAGTTTGGCAGCAACGCTTATTCCTCTTGTGTCCGCCTCCCGGCTACCCCACCAGGTGTTCCATGCGTTCACATCTCCACCGAGTATCACGTTTGCCGTCCCTAAGGCTGCCACTGCCTTTTCGATCACGTCCAGATATGGGTCGATTGGCTTGTCACACTCCAGATAGACAGACACCACTCCCA